ACGTATTTCAATGGAGGACTATTTTTAATCAGTCTGTGCCTTAGACTTTCGAAGATATTAATGCGGTTGTTATTTTTGTAGAAACTGTATTGCATTGGCTTGTTTAAAACAAGTTGTTAACAACAGCATTAAACACAGGCTGTTTGTAAAGAAAAATTACAAATTGTCTGCTGGGCTAACACTGCCAGTAAGGTTCAGAAGTAGGGTGTTCGATTATTAGCCTTTTTTCAAAACCGGTTTTCAAGTTATTCGAAAAATTGCAATTTCAAAAAAATCCGGTTGCTGATTTTAAAATTAAGAAAAAACCGTATAAGCCGGTTTTATTTACTTAGTCTTCATACAGTGAAAATGCTTATTTTGGTATCAAGTCATGACCAATTCAAAGTAATTTTGTATATGGAAAAGAGTGCATAACACCGTCAGAAAAAAATTATCAAAAATCAAAACGGTTTTTTAGCAACTTCAAACTTGCTCTTTATTATACAAGAATTTAATAATTCTAGAAATAAAAATTAAAATTCTTGGAATTGGGACGAAAAGTTTGTGCAGTTTTTATAATTTGTGTACAAAGTCTGAAATTTAGATTTATATGGTATTTGTTAGATAAAGAGCTATACTTATACATATATAAGAATAATGGACTTAAAAAAAAAAGCAAAATAAAAGTAGTTAAAACCAGTAAAAATATTGATGTGCTATCTTTTGTCGCGGGTGTATTATCTTATAAGACTTGCTAATGGATAAATGTGGTAGCATTGTGCCTGTGAATTTCCACACCACGGAATCGCCAAGAAACAGTTTGAACTTTCGGGAACGTTTCCAAAGAGAACAAAATGAGAACTAACTTATCAAAAACGTTTTCAAGGAGGATCAAATTAGAACAAAAGTCTGGGGAATGTTTTTCTAGAGAACAAAAGAGTTGGGAATTTAAAGTTAAAAAATTGAGGCCGGCGTCGGTGTATTGGGATAAAAAATTATTTCAATGAGAGCCATGAATGTTAATTCTAACCCAGAGGAAAGCTGGATCATTTCGATTTCCAGATCGTTTATTATTAGTGCGCACTCTCCATTTATGAAACAATTTTTCATTTTCTGTGCAAGTAAAGCTCGTGTCGTAAGTCTTTCGTTGACTTAATGTGCATAATTATCTTTTAGTTCCTCTTTGATTAATTTTAATATACAAACTTTTCAAGCTAATGGAACGCAATGAGAAAAATTATATTCTCGTCATTTCTGCACATTTGCAAAAAGGCTGGTGTTTACTCGTGAAAGTGGACTTTCGCTTTAGTACTTTGACAGCAAAATGCGTAGAAAAAGCGCTTGCATTTCCACGTTCAACCGCACTTTAATTTTTAATATTTTTCCGAAAGTCTTAAAATATACACCCCTATTGCGAGTGTCGAATAGTAGTAGATAAACGACTCTTATTCGATTATCGCTTTTCCATGGTATTGTGAATGTCAATTTCTCGTCCAACAAGCGACTGTGAATAGTTTTTTATCGCTCATCCTTCTACAAACAAATAGTTGTAGAAAGATGAGCGACTATTCACACGCACTTATTGAACGAGAAAAAGACTTTGAAAATGCCACGGATAATCGATAATAGACTAACAATCGTTTATCTACTACTAGTCGACACTCCCAATAGGGGTGATAACAATTTTTTAATGCCAATAGTGATCCACCTTAACGGACATACATATACTGTGCTCTGCAAAAGTTAGGACTCACTTTTTTTGTATTTGTCGCTTTAATTATTGTCATCATCGTAGAAGAAACACCCCCATACGTTTACCGATCGCAACAATGGTTTTTTAGCATCGACCGGTCCATACAAACCAAAACGATTTTTCCAAGCGAGTCCAAACTTTTGCAGGGCAGTGTATGAATATATAAATTTTATTTTGAATCCTTTCACAGTTTATTTCATATTAATATTTCAAGTTAAGTAAGTTTTTATTTACATAATTTAATTATCTTTATCAAAAAATTCCACAACTGTGATTGAATAAAAAAATATATAAAAACTACAATATTCAATATTCAATTAGAATGGCAAGAAGGGGTAGCAAGTCCGCGTAGCTGCTATAATGTCTACACAGAGGGGTAAATCTCTTGCAGGATGACGCCAGTAGATAGGTATTTGCTTGACTTTCGGCCACAAATCCTGTGACGCGTAAGTGTAGCCACTTTTTTAGGCAATTTAAAGAATATTGCGAGGCTAACAGAAACTATATTTTGACCTTAACCTGAAAGTTTGTAAATAAAATAATGCATTGAAATAAAAATACAAAACCATATTTTTGATAATTTAACATTGTTTATATTAGATAAAGAAAATCAGAATATTACAAAAACAAAATACATATGTATACAGTAAAATCAATAAACATACATATTTATAAAAACTTAGTCAAAATAAAATCAATAAGTAGTGTAAACAATTATAACTTATTTTAATGCAATTTACAATGTTAATATTTACTGTAAAGGGTAGTAGAATAAAGAAAAAAATTAATATATAAAAAGTAAACATAAAGTACTTAAAAGTACAAGTTCATATATAGAACAAAATTTAAAATTCAAACCGAAATTGTTTGCTCAATACATATATGACCCAATTTGATACTTAGACGCACTCTGGAATAAGGTAAGAATAACCTAGTGATAGAAAAAAGAATTTTCTAAAAAGAAAAACTTGAAACGACTTTTATCGCAGGGACGAGAGAGGTGGAGGAAGCCGAAAACTTACTCGGGACTCATCCGTTGTCCCACGATTAAAAATCTTTCATAAAGTTTTCTTTCAGTGTCTAGCGGCACTTGCCTCTGTGGACATGCGCAATCATCAAATAGGAACGTGCCACTGGAGGCGAGGGGCAACAACCGAAGCCAAAAAAACTACATATTATCAGCTATTTTAAATCGAGTAAATACTAACATTGTAAATAACATCTAATTATGATTAGAAAAACGTGATTGGTATACATTATAGGATGAGGTCTATAGTCAGCACGTTCGGATATTACATAAATAGGTAAAAAATCGGAACATTGAAAATACATACATACAAATATGTTTGTTTGTATGTATGTTAATACAAAATTGTTGTACAAATTATACAATTAACTAGCAGTGAGTAGTTTGTAAACAGTAAATTGTTGATATGTATGTATGTTTTTGTTTTCATTTTCGTTTTCGATTAACTCAGTATTAGTATGTAAATAATATCGTTAAATAATTGTCTGTCTTACCAAACAAGTATGGCTTACTGAAGCGCTATCGGAAACGGACATTGTTAGAATATAGTGACAATATTAAAACTTTTAAACTTTTTTTGAGCAAAAGTTAAATTTACTTCTTGATTTTGAGGCTTTGTTCTAAATTTGTTTTCCAAACAAAAACGTTTGTACGAAAAACGTAGGCTTGGGACATGGTACAATAATTAATTAATAATGGTACAATGGGTTTGGGATACTTTTAATAATTTAATTTTCAGGACAAAGTGTGATAAAAAAAATTTCGTAAGACAGACTAGTCAGTTATACACATGTATATACTTACATATGTACATACATATGGAAGTGTAAATATACCACGCAAAAGGCATGTGCTGGCGACAAAAAAAAACAATTTAACAGACTTAACTAAATCTGCTATACATTTGTAATTAATACATTTAAATGTAATTATTTTTTACTTTTTCTTATTAACTTAGCTTGTACAAAGAGAAAATAGTTGCATATATTAAACAAAAAAGAGAACAACAATAAAAAAACAATAATCTTCCTATTAGGTATTTAGTATGTTTGTTTTTTTTTCGCATTGGTACATTGCCAATTGGGCTTTAGAAAAAGCTGTCTCAATATTTTGTTTTAACTCTGATTAAAATAATAGATTTCACCGGCCTATAAGTAAATAAGTAAATATTTCGCAGTTTATAACGCAAAAAAAAAAATCAGTTCATGGGGTTATTCGAGTATGTAGTAGAATATTTCGAGAAAACAAAAACAACAAGGCATCAAATATGGTTTTAGCGACATACTCGTTTTAGTGTGTAAAAAGAAATTCAAAACATATGAACTTATTAAAGGGAAAATATGCATTTAAAAGTGTACAAATAATGTGTAAGTATGTACGATTTATGTTGTGGCTGTTCAACATTTAAGCAGTCGCCAATGTGTCGATTTCACCGAGTATCCCCTATATAATTTCAGTTACAACATTAAATATGTATTCGAGATATGGTGTTATGCTTTTGAGTAATTTCAAAGGATAGCATTATTTTTTAAAATTAATATCATATTTGTGGAAGCATAATTATTTAGCATAAAAACCATTTCTCAGGGGCTAGCAGACCCGGTGTGTGGACTACTTGCACTTCTGTTTTGCCAAGTAACAAAATGTTTGGCATCTAATTAGCGAACCATTAGCGAAATTTGTCGTTTGTAAAGATTTAAACAAATTACTAATGAAAATTAATAATATCACTCGCTTTAAATTTAAAGTCAATGTGAGGGAAGCATCATATTTTTCTGCTTAGTCATATGCATTTTTTTTATAGCTGCCTGCAATTTCTTCAAGATGTATATATGTATGTATGTATGTATATATGAGTATATGTGCGGGAGTATGTAAGAATAAATGTTTGTATGAATATACATATATATGTATGTTAAGTGTATATGTGTGTACATGTAAATATGTGTTTATAAAAAGTTAATTGTGACTATAAGTATTGTATGTGGGTATATGATTTGGTTCACGTATTCATCGTCGTTGGATTCGTTCGATTCATTGGTAGGTCCATGAGCGTGACTTTACATTAATTTTCCAGATTTTCGTTTATAATAGTTTGTTGCTTTAAACGTTTTACATGTGTTTTAATACATAGCAACACTTTTTTAATTGTTTTCATTTTGCTTGTTTGCTACAATTTTTTACGCTTACATTTAATTAGAATTTCTTACATTTTTCGTACGTTTGATATTAATTTACTTGTTTTTTTTTACATTTTGTCGTGGGAAGTTACACCAATAAAGAAGCAAACAAAAGAATACAAAGTAAGGAATGCATGTAGATGATTTTAGGTCAAGTGGGTGGTCAACTAAAAAGTTACAGGAGATACATATACATATATGAGATACAATTTCTGTGCGCAACTATGCATTTTCGAAGACAATGGCAAATGTATGAATACATAGTATGCTTATGTGTGTGTTTATATATGTATGCAAGTGCATAATTGCAATGTACGTCGATTATAGATGAATATACATATGTGTAGATATAGTATGCTTGTAGGTAACTATGAAATGCTAAACGGTTAAATACGATCACCATGAATACATTTATGTTGTTATATGTACTTGTTAAAATTGGTTATACAAATGATATCAGCTCATTAGCATGCCAAAAAATATGTATGTATGTGAATATTCGAGTGTATTTGTGTGTATCGTGTGTTCTATTCAAGTTCAAATATGTATCATATGCGTGTTTTACACCTTAACCGCGGCGGCGCCGTCAACGCGTGTCAGTAAAATTCGAAACTACTGCCAAGTTTTAGCGCTTGCGAAATTCAGTTTTGATTTACATTTGAATTTGATATGCACCTAAGTATTTTTGATTTAGCGGTCAACAAATTTCCACAGAGAAATACACCACATTTTGTAGCTTTATCACACAAGATATTTAAAAAAAAAGCTACGTTACAGCACCTGACAATCTACAAAGGCTGCACGTGTATATGTACTTTGTTTGTATGTGTTTTTGTATTCGTTTTTTGTATTCGTATGTGTTGGGATTCTGTGTTAAATTAGTTAAACTGCTTTCTTCCAATTTCAGCATTGTTGTTTCTGTCTGTCTAGTATGTTGATTGGCGGCAATGATGACAATATTACACACTTATAATTTTGTATACTTTTTGTTTTCCTCGTTCATCTTTTAAACTTTACGATTTACTGTTGTTTGTTTGCTGATTTATAGATATTGTTGTTCTTTGTAATAGTAGTAGTTTAGTAGTATTATATCAGTAGAAATCGCATAATTTACTTAAATGTCTAAAGAACGACGTCAGGCAGGTCGTGCGGCCTGGCCTAGGCGCGCATATGGTTTTCATGTACAATTTTTCTCTCCTTATAATAGATCTCCTCCGATTCCTTATCGCATAGCAGTAGCACAACGGCGCCGAATAGGAAGATAGCTGCACCCCAGCCAACACCATAGGCCCAACCAAATTCCCAAATTGGCCGATTCGCTGCAAAAAAAAAAAAAAATATCCATACATATATGAAGAGAGGTTAGAAATAAGAGAAGGAACATTTAAAGTTAATGTTCAGTGTAACTCACCCAAATTGAGTTCGCCAGCAAAACATACTGGATATATTATCAGCGCAGACAGGACAGCCAACACTAAAAGTATAGTATGAATTTAATATTTTTTGTATAGGTTTTGGCTTCAAAGGTTAAATTAAGAAATAATACATATGGTTATAAAATGTGCATTTGCCGAGCATATTTCTGGCAAATGTTAAAGAAGATAGAATACTCGTTCCCCCCGACAGCCTACGTAGCCGTATTTATATTTGGTCAAGGACTGTCACACCAGCATCACTCCCCACAAACTCCGAGGAATTTGTATGCTAATGCAACAGCAATGCTACTACAATAGCAACAAATTTTAAAGGATGAATTTGACATGTGTGAGTTCTTATCGAAATTCTTGGTTTCTGTCGGTTGGGCTTTCGTGCAGAACAACTAAATGAAGTCATAATTTTCTTAGCATAGAAAAAATGTGCAGGGCTAAGTAACACCTGAAAAACGGTATTAATTGCATAGTTCTTTCATCGAATGACACAGTCGCCTCGCCATTTGAAACATTCTTTTTAATCTCAAGAGAATATACGTAGATGATAAAATTCACCAAGCTATTCATATTTAGGCACTTACATGATAACAGCATCACCAGCACAGCGATTCTGTAGAATTTGTATTTGACATTGTGATTTTGTGTTCTCAAACCCAGGCCAGTGAGTATGGTGGCAATCACATCAGTTATCAATGTGATTATACATAGAGCAGCTGTGGCTTTGATGTAAGCTGAAAAGAAATTAAAAGACCAACGATTATTCTGAAGTCAAAACTATCCGATACATAAAATCAACCAACACCAACAAATATTCTACATATTTACTTACCCACATCACGACTAGCATAACAACCCGGCGGATCATGTAGATTGAATGGCAGCGGCGATTCAACATCTTCCTCAATGCAGTGCACAAAGAGACCCTGACGCCAGCCAGCAGCCATTAACCAGTCCGTGGAAGCTAATGCCATGATCATCAGTATGACAACGATGACACCACATATAAATGCAATGACCTAGAGCGGAATAGTAAGTGAGAAATTATAATTGTTTAGCATTTGATTAAATTTGTAGCGTAAAAGGGAGTTTGTGTAGTTGTTACAAACCTTCAATGGCCTTGTGATTGTAATGGTTTCAATTGTTGTTGTGGGCGCCATTTTTGATGGTGATGGGCGTTGCGAGCTGTATACAAAATAATGAAATGAAAGCATAAACGTTAATCTCAATACACTGCCAGAGGGGTGTATTTGAATGATTTAGGAAATAATGTACTTTTTTTTATCCCTAAAAGGTGGAAGCGAAGGAATACATAAATACATACCTTTTAAACTAATGCTCTTGAGCGTGTGTGTTAGTGGCAGGGAATTAGTGCACCCTTCTAACAAGAACAATAACAACGCAAGCGCAACAACACAATGTATGCTTGCATGTACAGCCAATGGCTTTGGCTTAGCCTACAGCTTTTTCGTGTTAAACGTTCGTTTTTTTTAACTATAGCGTCTTTTTAATTACTGCACTCAGTTTTTAACTGATTTTTTTTTCATTTTTTATTTCCACACATTTCATATTTTTCTTTTCACTGCGGTAAGTGTGCGTTAAAGTTCTTTTTTAGTTCAATATTTGCGCTTAATTGTATGCCAATTTTAAATGCAAATGTTTTATTTGCTTTAAGCTGCTTAAGATCTGTTAATTTTGAGGGAAGAGAATATATAAAATAAGAACAGGTTCATTCAATTAGTATTATCGAGAATCTAAAGGGAATTTCAATAAATAGCAATTCAAAATTGATTATCAATTTACAACAGAACCATGCAATAACGAAATGTGGACTTAACACACTCATACACAGCATTCTTTTCGGACAAAATTTTTTTTAATAACTCTTGCATTATAACTATTGCAATCGAAATAGATTTAAAGCGTGTTTTTTATCTTACAAAATTGTGTAGCATTTGTCGGCAAATATGTATGTACGTATGCAAAACGCATTGTGATTGGAAAAAAGCAGTATAACAATTGATGATGCAAAATAAAACAGGTCTACAGTTGTTTACCTACAACCGGTAATTCATCGACTAAATGTATGTTTCTGGACCATCGCTTTAATGATCTTAGCTAAAATTTAAGAGAAGTAAACGTCGACAAATAAACGACGGCTCCACAACTTCTGCTTCTTATTTTACTCCTCAACTGGTGCAAGAAATTTCACGTTGGCGTTTTGTTATCAAAGAAGCTCCTCGTCCCTGAAGGTCCATCGAGGTTGACGAAAAAAGGCATTTATTAAATCGAACCCACATAACACGATACGAGAAAGTGCAGAAACATTTAAACATGTCAAACAAATGTTCGATTTCGCCTAAAGAAGCAAACTCGAGAAATGGACTATATACAACAATGTGAAACGTCAAGGGTTTTGTCGCCGATGCGATGATTCACCTCAAATAACTTCCAAAGCCGATATTTACTTAACGAAGGTTATTCTCCGTAGGATGGGAGCACCGAGCAATCGGTTGCGTAGTGCAAAAGCATGACGAATAAATTAAAAACATACAAAAATACGCAATGACCTCCTACTCCACCTCTTACTAGATACTAAGATCATAAGCTAAAATTTAAAATATGTACTATCGACAGCAAAAGTGCCTACATGCATATAAACACGTTGACACACTCAACGCTACAGAAGATTGGATCCAAACAAATTACTAAAATAACACAAATTGTCGTTGGTGTGTGGTGATATGAATAAAGAGCATAGAAATGGATGAGGGAGTGTACCAAGGTACTGTGTTAAAGGGCGCAACTTCCGCATTTGAATACTTTGTTTATGTTTAAAAATAGAATAACAATTAAAAAAGCTACACAGAGCTGAAGTAGAAAGACGGATGTATGTATGTAGTATGTACACATGTACATTTTGCTGTAGATAAATGCAAACTATGGAGCATATGATATGCAGATGTAGCTAAAAGAAACCAACAAAATATGCGCAAGGCATGTTAGAGCATCAAAAATATGGCCACTTACAAAAAATTCGTTTCATTTCACATGGACATTGTATGCACTTACATGTGAATGTTCGTTATTTTTAGAATACGTAAATTTGCATGTAAGAACGATGGTTTTTTATTTCCGTACAATTACTAAATTCGTATAGGAATTACCAAATAGGGCGCATACATGCGGGTAGCAACAGTAATAAGAGAACATAAAACCCAAAAACAGCAAGCTTAAAATATGTATTTATTTGAAAAGTTACACGCGAGTGATGTGTAAATAAAAGAATATAAAATAATTTTCATATTACTGCTAAAAAAATATGTTAATTATGCGCGAATAAATAATGGATGTTTGTAAGTAAATAGTAGCGCATACATACATAAGTATGCCTGTGTAGCGAAGCAACTGCAAGCAAAACAATAGGCAGAAAACGTTTGGGGAATGTAATTATGGGCAGATGAGATAGATGTGGCTTATGTATGTACATATGTATGTATGTTCCTATGTATGTACATATGCGCAGATCTTTGCATTGTGCAATATGTAGTGGCAGATGCAAAGCCATGTACATACATACCAATTATTTTTTATACACATCCAGGTAGACAGACATTTGAAATACAAATTGGCCTACCTTCTCACCGGACATTGGCGTACCTTTCTTTGAAGTAATCCAAAGTAACCGATTCTGAGTCAAATTCTGAACATTCAGGCAGAGAATCACTGTCGAAGGAACTAAATCCACCCAGATTTATGTTGGCAATTGCATTTTTGCTAAAAACAGATTGTTTTGGTGGTTGGTTCAGCTGTGTCTGTTGCTGCGCCAACTTGTCTCCACCTGCGTCTCTGCTAGACATCTTCGTTGTTCGTACACAAAATTATGCACTTATACGGAGACACTTGAAACGATAGGAAAGTTAATGTTTTCCACAAATTTGATATTTTATCATCAATACAAATATGTAAATTAAAAAACAATTTAGCACTTTCTCTTTTATCTAAAAAATATTTTCGCAGATTGTTCCTTGAGCCTTGATTTCTCCTTTCCCCTTCGAAATTGTCTATTTTGAATCACACATCCATCCACACGCACATACACACCAAAATGGCGACAGTATCACTGCAATTCGCTACTTTTCAATGTCATTTTTGCAAATTTTACACATATAACTTAATGCACCCTTACATTTTCAATAGATCCACACTCCGCTTTATCGTTTAGCAAGAAGATTTAAATTTAAATAAAAACTAAATTATAAAAAATCAACGTTTTTCTACTTTCTCGTCGCACATAAACAATCGTCTCCGAAAATTTCTCCACTTTGCTGCTTCTTTTAGAGCTGGGATACTATCGATAGTTGAAAACTGTCGCCCCTGTCGATAGTTTTTGAAAACTATCGATGTCGGTTTTAGCAAGACTTTACAATGTCTCATCTTCACTTCTCTACACATTACATTAGTTTTTTTTTATTCAAGATACAGTAAAATGGTAAAATGTTAATAATTTATAAGTATAAGTTGTCAATTTAAACGGAAATTTTTTATTTTGTTTGTTTTGTAGTATTATAAATGTATTTTTATAGCCAATTTCACTTTTCGAAAGGGACAAATAAAATTCGAATTTAATTTTGCCATATAAAAAATAAATTCAGATTTTGCCTGTCGCTCTTCAAGGCATATAAGTTATATAATTCAGACGCATAAATTGATAAGTTTATTTTATTATTATAAGAAGTTCTTTTTGATGCACTCAAATTTAAAAAAAATTACACAATCTCTTTAATTTGCAAAGTAATTTATACATTTTATAAATTTATTAATTATTTAATTTTCAATCGTTTCAATTCAGTACCTTTCACGACGATAGTACTATCGATACAATCGATGTTTTCAACTATCGTATCGAAAACTATCGAATGGCGGTACAATCGATAGTATCACAGCACATGAAGAGATGAATTCGCTGCAGTGTTGGGCATTAAATATTGAAGAGTCCGCTAAAAGCTTAAACAGACGGCTGCGTTGATCAGGTCTAACTCAGAATTGATCCGTATCAACTGCAGTTAATTCCCGTGTTGATCCGGATAAACGATGCCGTCTGTTTATGCTTTAAAAGCGATTGCAAAATGTTTGTGTAAATAAAAGGGCGTTTCCACGCAGCCCTAATTGGGCAATTTCGAAATGAAATTGAAGGTTTTTATAATAAATTCAGACAAGCTTAATTCAGTCAATTAACGTTATTATTGAGCTCTTCCTTATTGTCACACGCAGTAAGCTGCTGTTGCACTCATGGAAAAGTTGGTACAATCGTACTTTCATTTAGTTTGAAAGTACATTCGGTACAAACACACTATTTTAGGTACATTTTCGTTCAAATTTCTGGTGTGGCCATCTGATAAAGTGAAATTTACCCCGGTGTAGGTATAAGAGTGAGAAGGAACATTTGACACTATATTATTTGAAAATTTACTTGAAAAAAATTCTATAAGAATTTCAAGAAAATTAAGAGAATAAAGCGAGAGAGCTGTTTTATTACTTACATCACCTGTTTATAATTTCCCCATGCGCCTTGATCAAGAATCAATTTCAATCTCAATTTCGATGACAGTTTGTTTATTTTGTTTTTATTTGCTTGTGATTGACCTTCGATGTTCTTCTTTTTATTTATTTACAATTCATAATAATAATTTTCGGAGTTTATTCGTGAAGTTGAGGCAATTTCGTCTCAATTTCGTTGAAATCATGCATGACAATGTAAACAGACATAATGACTATTTTTATAAAAGTAATGGCACAAGAATTTTTTAATGCCCAACATTGATTTTAAAAATGTTGTAATTTAATGGCTGGTGGAAATTCAGCATTAGTAAGAACATTGGTAAAAAAAAAACAAATATTCATTTGTAGAAGGTAGACTAATAAAATACGCTGTGAAAATCTGATTTTCCCAAATATTCAAATGTTTATAAAATGTATAATGCGTGTTTTATTTTACTTCTGGCCTCCTCATTTCGCCACCAGTAGCTGTCAGTTTTTATCGCAGACGTCAACAAGCAAATGTCTACCGCTGCGTGTTTGGCTGCGTGTGAGTGTGTGTAGTTGTTTTTTCTTCTGTTTGTGCTGAAATCGTCCATGAAGCTTTGCTTTTGTTTTGTATTATTAATCGAAATTTTTAATATAAATCGGGCCGGTAAATTTTATATATTAACCGGTAACAGCAGTAAAAATGGAGGCTACATCAGAGTCAATCAGCCGATTGCTAACAGGCGGCTCGGCTGAGGAGTATCTGCAGTGTCCTACGTGCGAGTGCAAGCTACAGCATTGGGAAGTGAAGCCACACTTTGACCAGGAAATGGAGCGCTTAAAACAATTACAAATGGAAGCAGTAAGTGAGGCAACTGTCGAGTTAACACAGCAAAGTGCTAGCAATACAGTGGTACATAATGAGGAGCGACGTAAGCCTTGGACTATATTCCAGCGGGTGCAACGAAATCGGCATACACGTCTCAGGGTATGTTGAATCTATAATAAACCATATTTACTTATTCTAGATAAATATTAATCTGCAGCGAAGAACTGGTAAACGCCCCCCACCACCAACCGAACAGCAATGCCCAGTGTGTAACGCCTCTTTCCCATTAGAAGAAATAGAGCAACATGCAGAACAGTGTCTACGCCGCACTAATGGCGCAGTCAATGGTCCTGATGGCGGTAGTTCAAGCAATGAAGACGAGAATGGCGAGGAATACGAAGAATATGAATGGGCTGGCCAAAAACGTATACGTGTTTCTAGTCTCTTACAAGGCGGTTATGCTGCAATCGGCGTAGGACAGTCTGTAACAAACCACAGCGCTGGCAGTGTCCCAAATAACACACAGATTGGCGACGAAGAGGAAGAAGATTTAAACGTAGACGAGGATGACACTCATCTATATGGGCCGGCGCAGTACGCTGAAGCTGACGTTATACCACCCATAGCGGAGGAGAATGGCAATAGTGCAGATGGTGATGTTACTAGTTACATGCGACGTCTAATAACTGGCTCTACCGAAACAACTCTAATGAGCGCTAATGCGACGGAGTTGCAACGCGCAATTAATAGTACTAATACGTTAGCTGCAAATATAGAATTAAGCATTCCACGGGCTGACCTAACTGCCGATTTGGTTTCTAAAGAAAAGCAAGAACTCACATCACATACTGTTGCGCAGCAATATAGTTCGCAAATAATAGAGTCATTGAAAAGTAAATTGCGACATTATGAAAATCAAGTGCAGAATAAGTTTAAATGCTTGATTTGCTTAGACGACTACCGAAATCCAGCTATATCGGTAGCTTGCTGGCACGTACATTGCGAAGAATGTTGGCTGCGCTCGCTAGGAGCACGAAAGCTCTGCCCACAGTGCAATTTGATTACAACACCAAAAGATTTACGTAGAATTTATATGTGAAAAAAGCGTAGTAATACAAGTATTTGGTAGAAGTATAATAAGTTTCCTACGTATACGGATTTTAAGATTTATTTAAATGCAAATGTTTTTCATTTCAGTACATTTGAATCAGTTTTATACAATTTTTCGTATTTTCATGCAAATTTATACACTTATACATTTGAGATAAGCGTGATATGTTAAAATAATATAGCTAGTATTTAAGAAAACAGATCCGAAGCTGTGTTGCAGTTACAATAAAAATACAAGACATTAAGCTGTAAGAAATTGTGGTAAACATAAATAACGAACACTTCATTGAATTTTTTTAATTCTACATCTCTGAAGCAAGTTGGCGAGGAAAGTGTAAGGGATCGAATAGTATAAGAATTTCTAAGACCCGTCGTTTTTTGCGGCTACTTAATCTTCCTTCAACACAAATGTCTTTAATCGTCGGAGTTAAATTGACGGTATTGAAGGCTTCTTGAATAAGAGAAGTTTAAAAGGCAGGTAAAGTGTTGATTAGTCTCATTCGGGTATCAGAGTAAGAGGTTTAAGGAATGCTGCTGGACCAGAGAACGCTGCTGGAGTGACCGACCTTATGCAGGTATACATACATACATACGTACATACATACATCCCTGTAGTGAAGATTTCAGTTAAAAGTAGTTTTAGCAAAATATTTTATGTTTAATTGGTTTTTGAATATCCGGCGGCAAAGGTTAGCCGCTTAAGCCGTTTTGAGGACTTTCGCCAATCCGTGCCCTCAAATTGGTGCTCCCTTAAATAAGAAAATATTTCATCTTCTGTTTTCATGAATCATTGTTTGCTTTTTTTTATCGAATACCTTGATTTTTAATCTAATCTAATAGCTTATTCGCTACTACTTTACCGTTATTCTTTAAATCCTTATTCTATTTAATTAAAATTGCAACCTCTTTTACATACAGTAACGCTACATAAATTGTACATAAATCTTTAGAAAAACCCCTCCCATTTACGGCAAGAGACCGGCATTTTGTAAAATGCGAATCTTGTGTCGCTTTTGTGGTTCCGTTTTTCATTTCCACTCTCATCTTTTTTCCGTTCGTAAATATTTACGACAGAGAACGTAATTAATTTACGATCACTCTTTCAGCAAGCCCAACACACACGCATGAACGAAAGACACAAGATCACGTAAGAACAAGAGATTTTTTTAGCGGGTTCTACGCCATCTTGTTTCACTGGAAAACGAGCGAAAAGTAAACAAAGCAAAGAAAACAACGAAAACCAAAATTAGCCAAAATTATTGTCAGCTACTTTAAACGCACAATTTAGGTAAAATGATGCAACAAAATGCTTTAAAATGTGTTGTCATGTTGAATTAACTCTTCTTTACTTGAATAAAAATGTAAAATAGTGGTGCTTGTGATGTAAACAAACGCTCAGCTGACGAACCCGCTTTCGCAAACTTTTTTCTCAAAACCAGTTACAAATACAACGTCGCGTTCTTACGTGATCTTGTATTTTTGGTTCATGACACACACGCAGAATTGAAAATATTTGTAAACGTTCAAAATGACCCAACAAGCATTTCAGTAAAGCTGATGCCAGATAAAACTTTGGGGCTTTGATATTTATAACTCTGACAGCAAAGCGCCAGACGCAAAAGGTATAACACAATGATCGCCAAGAAAACAGTTCGAACATTCCTAACTACAAGCTTCGAGTTGCCGCAACACAAGTTTCCGTGTCTTATTTCTCAGCTTATTTCACAAATTATTTTATGGGCACTGTCACACGGTCAGTATTTATTGACGTGATCAAAGTAACGCGATATTTATTGACGGTGTAGCATGCAGTATTAATAGATCGTGATCCATATCGCAACATTTCTAAAAA